TTGATTTCTAGAAACACATATTTTATCTGTTAATAAACCAGATGCAAAGACAACACCCTGTACTGAATCAACTAACAAGTATATTTCACTCTTTGATTGAGCTCCAGTGTAGCTTCAAATAAATTCAAACTACGTCAGTGAGGCACACAGACTATTCTTTTATTTATATCAGTCCCATATTCATCATCGCTCTGACATCAATTTTTATTGTATTGATCTGCAGGGAAAATAGTCCCCATCCAATGCAAAAAATACCTGTCGGATTAATGTTTGCTGAAAACTACAAAGCACATGTGTGTTAGGAAATCATTCTGCGTATTTAAGAAGTTTATGTAAAGGTTTCTCACATGTTTAAGACATGACGGGTTTGGTAGAATCAACAGGCTTGCAGGTGAGAAAGTATTGAGAAAAACGACTCATTGTTGGTTTGGGATTTGTTGCCAATAAGAAAATAAAATAATTACCTTTAGTGTTTCAGGTACTGAAGCTAACAGATTTTCAAACCCACAAAAAAGGTTTAAAATCTCTCAATGAATATGTCCTCAGTATTCAGGTACAAAATGTTGAAAAATAATGTAAAAGTAAGAAGATTTTTTATTTAAATGTCCAACTTTTGTTGTGAAACTTTTGACAGAAAGTATGATTTTAAACTTCTAATTTTAAATTAAACACTTTAAAATGGGCTTATCTCTGTGTTTAACACTTTTATGAGCTAGAGTATAAATTAGCAGTTTACAAAATGATAGGTTTTCAATTTGATCACAAGAAATAATTTATTGAGAATAGAAACAGGTCATGACATTCTCAGTAGAAACTCAGACTGAATCACATGCTGCAGTCAGAAGCAACCAGTGGCCTCACGCTGGTGAGTTCTGACCCTAATATCTGTGGTGTTAACCCCGTCTGACATCCATAATCTCTATTATCTTTGAGTCTTGGCTGATCTAAGATTTAATGTCTGAGCAGGGGAATCAAACGATGCTCGTCACAGTTGCTTCTTAAGAGATAAAATCAGTGACTGTATTGGTGTAACGGCTCTCTGTATGGGTGTGTGCATGTTTGTGTGTGAGGCGGGGGGTCCAACTGTCTGACACCTGCAGCTCTTCATACTCAAAATGCAAATCCAAGCCCTCGCCCCCCCTCCACGACCCCTCCCTCCATCCAAGGTTACTGAGCAACGACTTTTGCAAATCTAGATCAGATTTAAATAACAGTACAAAAAGAGATTCAACGGCGTAAACACTGAATTTAAGCTTTTTCTTTCTTGAAATAACAGAAGTGAAAGTGTAGTAGCAGATTAAGTGAAAGTCGATATCCCCTCCCATATCACCTCCAGTAATACAAGTGGTCTCTTCACGTATTTATATAATTACTGTGAACGATATGTTTCAGTTTAACACAATAAAAACTTCTTAAAAACATGTGAAGCATGTTAGTCTTTTCTTAGTCACAAAAAACGAAATAATAACTTAATATATAAATTATTATCAACTGTGGTGAACATCCGAAGAAGATTTTCAATTTCATATAACCAAATCAAGATTTAAAGATTTTTACACATTTAAATGACTACTTTAACTGAAACAAAACAAGTAAACGTCCTGACAGCTCAGAGTGGAAATGCTTTAAAACAGAAATATGTTGGGGTTTTTTTTTGTTGTAAAACTTGCTTTACCAAACGTTGAGTAAATCTCTAAACTGGTATGCTGGAAAAACCAAAAAGCAGGTGCAAGCCCCTACGCCAGCGAGCATCTGCCTGACTGAAGTGTTAAAGTGAACAAGATGCTGAATCCCTCACCAGCTCCTCGGTTGCAGCTGAGCCTGACCTCTGACTGCGCTAGTGGGGGCTACTTACGATTTTGTCCCATGGGGGACAAGCAAAGTGTTGCATTATTTGTATTGTTGTTAGTTGGGTGTGAAGTAAATGAGTTAAAGCACCTGTTTCTCTGGGTACCACTATTGCACTCTGGGGATGTTGGTGACGCCCTCTAATGTAACCTCAGCTCTCTACTGCCCCCCACTGACTGCTTGAGAAAGTACAACATCATGGAGATGAAAGTAGAACTGTAACCACAGTTTACTCTACGATCATATCACTGTGCATCAACATCCTGTTGGTGACTGAGTCAACCATCCCAGTTACATCCAGCTTATATTATTATTAAGAGAAAAAGCTACAAAAACAAAGAAAACTTGTTTTATTAGAAAAGTTAAATACCAGACCATCACAGACCAAGCAGTCTTTACATATTTTGATTTTGTATTTTTGCAAAAGTCTACTTGTGTACTGTGATCTTGCCTAAGAATAAATAAAAAGTGTAACAGCGCCACCTAGTGGTTTTAGGTGGTAGTTACAGTCCTTGAGGGGAAGAGAGTAGGCTACTATTACGAGTAGTTACATTACATTTGACATTGTTTGAAGTTATCTTCTAAATGTGACTCTTCTCTAACGATTGCGAGACAAATGTAGTTTATAAAGGAGATGTTTTAAGGCTTTTTGTCAAAATTTTATTGCGCTCTCGTCACCAGGAAATGTGTTATTTTACAATAGTAGCCTACGTGTATTTAACGTATTTGCCTGTTAAAAGCCGCACGTCTTGTAAAAATGAACGAGGATGTCTCGTCATCCAAAATAGGTTATGATGGACTAGAGGGTGCAGAATGTTATGTACGGCGTGTCCACAGTGGAACGAAAACGAAGCCAACTTGGCAGCGTTTTGGATCATATGGTTTTGGATCACTTTTCCGAGTCACATCTGCGCACAGTCTGTGCATAACGTCCGAAGTCAGCCCACATTTTATTTCTGGTCTAACAGGCTACTGAACAACAAACCCACTGGAACCATGTTTTATAAAATAGTGACACTTGCTTTGAAAGGAAAAAAAGTGTTTTACTCTCCTTCCTGCGTCACGCTGACTTTACGCGAGGGTTTAACAGGTGCCATAATGAATGTGCTGCTAAACTGTCATTGAGTTGAGAGGAAAAGGCCAACCTGAAATCAAATATATTGAATCACGTTTTGAGTGGAGATCGAGTTACCTTCTCATTTCCCTTCTTTTTTTTTTTTTTTTACCTTTCTTGTATAAAATGTCTGAGCTCTAACAGGATTTGTTTCAAACTGAAAAACTCGTTCTCTGATGAAAACAGACTTTAATTGTTATCGTATTTAAGCTCCATAAAGCGTTTGTGTCTGTGTGTTTGTTTGTTAATGTTGAGGTGAAATAATTTTCTGTATGTGAGGCTATTGTTTCTGTCAGGGTCAAAGTCCAGACAGGCTTGTTAAATGCTGGATAAATTGTCTGTACTCTGAAGGATGCCTATCAAAAGTTCAACTAAGATGATCCCATTCATTTTAAAGTTTTGGGTCACTAATTTGACGCACAAGTGTATATTTTGAATAAAGAAATGAATGAAATCCACCTGCAGGATGTGAGGATGTGAGGTAAATCCTTTACCATGACTAGAATTAGACTACATTTCAATTAAAACGGTGTTTAAATAATACTTAGACAACATATATTGTGTCCTTTAAACGTCCCTGGCTTGGCAGAATTTTCATTTCAGGAAACATGGCGCACGTCCTGAACTTTCACCTCGGATATTTATTTAGCCTCGTTTATCTGTTCGTCAAAATCCAAATCCATCACTCATAATTCTCGCGATAAATGCTGCTCATATATTAAGGCAGATGAGGGGGCCTCGTCCACTTCGAGGGGCGTTGGGTTTCCTTGGAGGTCCTTGTTGAAGTTAGGAACAGTCAAGGGTCTCAAAATCTGCAACCATGTCGGACGCAGTGGTTAGTTTCTTGAAGGACTTTCTGGCTGGTGGTATTGCCGCTGCCATCTCCAAAACGGCTGTCGCTCCCATTGAGAGAGTCAAGTTGTTGCTGCAGGTAAATTCATTGAACCGATTGTTGCCCGATGAGAGGCTGCATGTCAACTGTGTCGTGCGTAAAATGTGCGTAAATGTTAGGGTTAAGCAAACATTAACGTGTACAATTGGGTTAGTTTAAAACATAAAACGTTCAATTGTCTGCTTTGCGAGTTAACAAGGGCTTGTTAGGCATAAGGTCAACGGGCACGTGAGAGGTCCTGCGTCCACATGGAGATGGTTTTACGCACAGGACTTAGAGATGTTGCTGCAAACGTGGCGAATTTGGCGACGCCTGCTAATGTCAGACAATAAAAGTCGGAATTGTTCAAGATTATGAGCTATTGATACTTTTGTTGAGTTAATAACAGCTCCTTTATTGCACATGACCACAGTAATATTTAGTGGAAATGAATTGCTAAATTTAACTTGAAGCATGTAATCTAATACACAGCTGGTTCTCAAGTGACCAGAGTTTGCACTGCCAGGACTACAACTACACACTAATGCATGGCTGGAAAATATTAGACACCCACTGAGATTTCATGAAAATACAGAGCGTTATTAAAGTTAAAATAGAATAGAATATTGTACTTTGTTGTTAATCTAAATAAAGGAACATCAGCTTTATTGCACAATATTCCACTAGAAAATAATCACAGTTGTTGGTAGTTAAATATTTTCTTTTGATAAACTTATTTTTGGCTGTAGGTCCAGCATGCCAGCAAACAGATCACTGCAGAGATGCAGTACAAGGGAATCATGGACTGTGTGGTGAGGATCCCGAAGGAGCAGGGCTTCATTTCCTTCTGGAGAGGCAACCTGGCCAACGTGATCCGCTACTTCCCCACCCAAGCTCTTAACTTCGCCTTCAAAGATAAGTACAAGAAGGTCTTCCTCGGTGGAGTGGATCAAAAAACACAGTTCTGGCGTTACTTCGCTGGTAATCTGGCATCTGGCGGTGCTGCTGGTGCGACCTCGCTCTGCTTCGTCTACCCTCTTGACTTCGCCAGAACAAGGCTCGCTGCAGACATCGGCAAGGGCACAGCTGAGAGAGAGTTCAGTGGTCTTGGAAACTGCCTCTCAAAGATCTACAAAACCGATGGCCTCAAGGGTCTGTACCAGGGATTCAACGTGTCTGTGCAGGGTATTATCATCTACAGAGCGGCCTACTTCGGATGCTTCGACACAGCTAAAGGTGGGCACATCTGGATGAACGTGACCTTTACGGTTTTTAACACATTTCTTTCTTGAATTTCTCCTAACGAGCGGGCCTTTATCCTCTCCTCCCTTGCAGGTATGTTGCCAGATCCGAAAAACACGCACATTATTATCAGCTGGATGATCGCCCAGACTGTCACCGCTGCTGCTGGTATCATCTCCTACCCCTTCGACACCGTCAGACGTCGTATGATGATGCAGTCCGGACGCAAAGGAGGTGAGAGGCACTAATACCTATACACTATCATGACCACAGTGATGGACTTCTGGATGGGTTCTGCACAACTAAACATTTTTACACAAGCATTCACTGGCATTACGCGTAACTGTCAATGTCTTCATATCCACAGCTGACATCATGTACACGGGCACAATCGACTGCTGGAGGAAGATCATGAAGGACGAGGGAGGAAAAGCCTTCTTCAAGGGTGCCTGGTCCAACGTGATCAGAGGAATGGGCGGTGCCTTCGTGTTGGTGCTGTACGACGAGATCAAGAAGTTTACATAATAAACTTTGTAACCTTCCCCGCCCAAACAAGGAAACCTTCACTTTGTTGAAGTCTTAATTGTTGTGATAGAGTGATAACAGCTTGTGGTGAATTACAATGTGGGCGTGGTCTCGTCAGAGATAGCCCGGGACAGGTAGGTTAGGTTTACCTGACCTGGGCCAACATGCCACCCAAGAAATCTGTACATACATATCTTATCTACCACGTGTCAAACTGCACAAATAGTCAAGCAGGTGTTTCGGTGGAGATGTTGTGATGACACAGATGATGACATCACGACCAGCCTCCTCTTGTTAGTGTCACTTTGTGAAGCAGTAATGTTGTGACCACTCTGATCAATGTATCCAATCTCACATCAGTTTATTAACAATAAAGATTTATAAGTCTGGTCTGTTTAATGAATGCTCTGTTATCATGGCAACATACCACTTGGAAGTTACATTCCTTCTTCCTTCAGACACTTTTTGACTCTGGCTCCTACATATTATCTGTATGTATATTCACCTGTTTTCAATAAGCAACTACAGCTGGCATGCACGATAACCGAACTATAAAGCTCAAGCAGCAAAATGGATAATTACACCCATAAACATCCTGTTTTCACGTGTTAATCTCCTTTGTGCTCATTGTTCACTAATTGAATTGACTATTTTTGCCCTCACGTGCACTGGGCTTAACCTTAATATAGGTGTAGTAGCTGAAAGTAAAGTTTTTTTTGATTTGATAAAGCACAACAGACACGCAGCTTCATAAACATCTACTCTCCTAACAGTTTGATTTTCTTTCCTCATTTCTATTATTTATATTCTAGCACACCGCCAACTGGTGAACACGTTGCTTTATTTAAAAAGGACAGAGTAGAATACCAAAATAGTCTTTCAAATATTTATTTGTTTATTGACATAATTCCATAAAGCATCATACACTGTAAATATGGGGAAAATGGCAAACAAACAAAAATGCAGGTTTCATGTAAACATCCCTCATAGAGATTACAAATAATAAATAGCTTGTTATTTCAACAAAGCTGCTGATGGCTGCTGCTAACTGTTTGGTAGATTTACTGCCATATTAAGAAACAACAAATGAACAGTTTAAATGCATTAATGTTGCTTTGAGCATCATTTGCTAAATTATATACAGTGTTTCCCCTACCATTATATTAGGGGGGGGGGCTTGAAGGTCAAGTTAATAAAAAAAATTATATATATATATATATATATTTTTTTTTTTTTGGGGGGCTTTTTGTGCCTTTATTGTAGAGATGGGATAGTGGATAGAGTCAGAAATCAGGGAAAGAAGTCATTTAAGGATACCTTTCTGATACAACAGGACAGCTGTCATTAAAAGTAACGCATGAATATATCGATTCCCTAAAGTGTTTGTGTCGGCGGTCCATCTGCGCACCCACCCCCCCAAAAAAGCTGTAAACCTAGGGGAAACACTGATATATATATATATATATTGCAAACATAGGGCTTTTATAAGCATGCCAACACTACACACTGCAGAGGTTATCAAGTCAATTAAAGATACAGTGACTGTATGCATGTACATCATCTCCTTCCAAACAGCAACTTTCATGAAGAAAGGAAACAGTAGATACCTCTAAAGGGAACCAGCGATAGTTTGTTAGAGAACTGATATCCTCAAGAGTTCTCAGCTCCATGCTGGTCTTGCTGAACTTGGCTTGTTTGACCTTGTATGCGGTCTAGAGTCAGCAAGAGTAGAAACTGGTCTGGAGCTGCGGTGGACAGAAGTGACTGGCCTGGGACCTGCTGGTGTTGACAACAGAGAGATATTCACTGATTACAGATTGACCATTTCATATTAACATCAAAATTCCTAACATGCATTTTAATTATTTATGTCAAAGTTCAAAGAAAGATTGAGCATACATTTTTAAATCTAAACATTTCAGCTGTAACCTCGGCAGTAGGCTACAGGTAAACAGGTATTCAGTCAGTAAAGCTGCTGGAAGAAGGAATAATTTTAACTTTTTACCCAGTAAATTCATTTAAATAAAAATTTAAACAGGTTTAAAGTGATAAGAGGAACACTATTAAGATAATGGGGGGTTCTTCCCAGTGTCTGTCATCCACAGCTGCCTACAACTGTCTGTCAGTTCTTTCCTTCATTAATCAAATCACTGCAGCTATCTGACAGCAGCAGGTCAGACATAATGTGATAAATCTGCAGCAGCGCAGCTCAGTGCCTCATGCTGATCATCTTTGTTTATCTTGGATGAATCATCACATTCAGACAACACCACACTGCTGGTGTCACTGTTCTTATGGGAACAAAAACACTCAGCCAGGGGTTGGGTACCCATGTGTTCTTATTCTGTGCAGCCACCTCACAAGTAGCCTTAAAGTTATCATTCATATTGACTGATCTTCAGATTTTAGCTGTTGGTATACATTTGTACATGGATGGAGAGGTAGTCTTAATAATACACAATGATACACACTTGCTTTAAGTCTAAAATGTTTGGCTGCAGAACACACATTACATTTAATCAACATGTTTTCATACTATTTCGGTTGTATTTTGAGGTTTCGGTTTCCAACCTGAAGGTGTCTTGCTGGTAAAGCTCTCCTTCATTGTGGACGTAAAATCAGGGTAAGAAGGACCTCCCAGGTACTCTATTTGTCGCTGGTAGTCTGCCAGTTGTTCTGAGCGCTTTAGACCAGGTGTAGGTTTGACAGACTCCAGCCTCTTTAGAAAAGCCTGAAAGAAACATTTGTAAGTTTTAAATGTGATGCAAATGCTACTGTCTTCATATCACAACCTTAAAGTTCAGAGGTATGTTTTGGGAATGTAAAGGATATGGGCACATATGAGGTAAGTGATAAAAGCCTTAAGTTTTAAGTATAAAACAGTTAAAGTTATTATAAAAAAATAAAAAATAAAAAAAATGCTGCAGTTGAAAGGGTTTGAATGTTAATAATGTCATTTTTGGAGTCTTTTCTTGAAGGGTACATTCATTTTGAAGTTTATCTTATTTCGTCTGGCACTTGATCCATGACATTTTTAACTTATTATTACAAAACTTAATATCTGTTAACATCATTCATTAAACAAAAAGTGTATTTTACTCAGAAATGAAGCACCAACCTGTGGTGCCCTATGTCTAAATTATTGTTAGATAATTTAGTAGTTAAGAGTATCTGACGCTTCATAGCAAGCATTGAGAAAAAAGAGAGTAGGCAAGTGGCTGTATGTCATACATGCAGACACACTCCCACATGCATGCTGTGCAGAAACCCTCGGTAAAAAGCTCCAAATGAAGTGATGCAATAAGCAAAAAAAGCTCCAGTCAAGAGAGAGTTGTGCTAAAGGTTACAGGTCCTCTGAAGGTCATTAAAATGCTCTGTGGTTTTCTGAGTGCAGTCAGCTTGATCACCTACTGTCTATGAATTTTGTAAAATCTCCTCAAAATAAAATCCAGTCTTCTGAATAAAATAAAACTGACACAGAATTGATGTTATGTTATGTTATCCATAATTGACCAATCTGGACATTTCAACAAGTAGTTCTTCTTGTGTTTTACATGTGTAGTGTGAGGGGTGGATACGCTGATCACACAGTAGATTCAATTACTTCACTCTAAGAATAGAAAAGTACTCCTGACAACATGGAGTTTGAATCGAGAGAGAGAGAGAGGGAACAGTCTGTGCAGAAAATGATCAGAACACATTCCTTGATTCAAAAAATACAAATTAGGATGAATTCAAAACCTTTGATACGAAGCAATCTATGAATGCTCTTCAATATCAGTGATGAAATATTTGAAGTTTTCTGTTTTTACTTTAAAAGCCAGTCAGAGGACACATTAACACCTGCCTGCAGCCAGTTATTTCTCTAATCTTTTTTGTGTTAAACTACTGCTTGTCTCAGGCCCTGTGAAAGGAACACGACATGGTCAAGCAGTGGTATTATACTGGGGTGAGAGGCTAGGCTAAGCTGAACAGGCTGAACTGTCTCATTATGTCCCTCTGTGCTGCTGCTGCTGCTGCAAGCCTGCCACCTGCTGCCATCTGTCCAAATCCATCCGTGTCTGCTTTCAGGGGAGGAACTCTTACTCCAATACCAACTAACTACAACTGCCTATAACAACTAGAATCCTACACACGATTGGCTTCACATAGACAACCTGATTATTCACCAATGCAATCATGAAAACCACAAATAAGACTTCAAGTCTTTAAAAAATTAAAATGCATATTCTGATGAATATTTGATGCACTTAATAACATAAATCCCTTTGACATTGCATATAAACAACAGTCAAGAGTACTGAAGAATTTATTTTGGAAAGAAAAGAAAATGTGCTGTAAATGCTTATATCACATGCAAAGGTTTATGGTTGTGTGTTTATCGAAAATGAGGGTGGATTCACACAGAATACAGATCTCACCAGGTTCTCCCTCTCAATGCGTTGTTGTTCCCTTTGCCTGTTGAGTGCGCTGTGAGAGAGGCGAATGGGCGGTGAGTTTTTATACATGTGACTTTTCTTTCCTGCTGAACTTCCTGCACTGGGTCCTGGAGAGAGGCGTGAAAGCTCCCGAAGAAGTCGCTGGTTCTCTTGGTCTATACATCGGACCTGGTCATTGGTGAACGAGTAGTTCTTTCTGTTTCTCGCTCCAGGATGGGGGAGGACCAGTTTACCTCCGAGCTGACTCTCTGAGCTGAAAAAGTCTGATTGGTGACAAGGAAATTGTTACAAGTCAAAAGTATTGGATGCAATATTAAAATTGTTCTGTGAACCAAGAACCAATAAAGAGTTTATTTATTTATGGAGTGAAATCCATTTAACATAAAAAAATATATTTAAAAACGTAAAAAAGCAACATCACGACCCATATTTATAGAGACTTTAATCAAAGGCCATATCGCCCAGCCCAATATGCGACCTTGGGCATGCTGTATGTGAATTGTTCCTGATGTACTGAATAGGGGGGTAATGACAAGAATCTGCCAATACATTTCTAATCATGCCACAGAGGTAAACATTTATTCATTTACTTAATGATATATTGCAAAAATGTAAGCAAAGATATATTTTGCAATTTTTTTATTAAGGGAAAATGAATCTCTTTAAATAAAGCTATTCGCAAAAGATTCACTCCATTTATTCATTTTATTAAAAATTTTAAACCACTACAATCCTAGCTTGTGATAAGGTGTCAGAAGTATTATTTTACAAGAAAAGTCACAAGCAAAAAAAAAGTGGTACAATTGAAAGTATAAAGAAGTTACAGAAGATTGACAGACATGAAGGGCACAATGTTACTCACAGCCATCATTGTCTTGATCAGATTCCTCTTCTTCATGTGTGTTGCTAAGGCCACTGGAGGGCACCCTCTCCTCCTGCAGCTGCTGTGGATGCTGCTGCTGCTGCTCTGTAAGGCGTCCCTCTTCGGACTCTGTTTGGTTCAGATCCAGTGACCGGTGGGGGCTGGAGTCTGAAGAGGAGAGGGGGCTCACATCTGTTACTGAATCTTCCGATACCTCTGTAAGGTAGAAGGGCACATTCCGAGATCCTGCTGAGCCAACTTGGTTGCTTCTCCCTCCTGGGGATAAAGATTTTTTGGGTCTTGAAAGGGTGGGGGGATCTAAACCGCTTCTTCCTCTGAGACTGCTACCTGAACTTTCCGAGTCTGCATCAACGCTTGCCTCGGTTGAAGTGGGGGATGGACTTCTGGTGCGTCGATTTCTTATTCGTCTTTTCGGGGAGCGTTTATTTCCTCCTATTGAGCCAGAGAGTTTGGCACTGGATGATGTTTCTTCTCCAGTCTGTTTTGGACTCTGTTTGTTCATATCTGTAACATCAACCTCCTCAGCCAACAAAGACATACATTTTCCATTTGGCCTTTTAGATCGCAAATCAAGCTCCTCCTCACCATCACTACCATCATTTATGACTTCAGCTGAAGAACTGCTAACAGAGGATATGCTTGATGCTCTGCTCCTCTCTTTTTCTGTGGATAGACAGCAGGTTTCTTTTGCTTCTGCACTGTCATTACGGTTGCTCTCGACCGGCTTCAGTTGTTTTGTTGCCCCTTCAGTCTTTGGGTATACACCACCTTTTATGTTGTCAGGCTGTTTTTTATTCAGCTCCTCATGAACTGGCAGGTTTTCCTTCTCATCTTTCAGGCATTTCTCAATATTTTTCCTGCCATCTCGACTGACACGGCTAATGTCGCAATCACTGTCGAAGAATGAATGATCCACTTCACCTTCTAATTCACTGGGGTTTAACATGTTGATGTTCCTGACCCATCGACCCTGTAAGGAAGTGAAAGGTTGGTTAAGGAACAGTGTAAAGAAAAAGGTTAAAGGTTAAAGAGTAAGGATAATTTTTTAACCAATAAATACAAATTGTTTTTTAAACCATATTGCTGTTTTTAAATACTTTGATCCACAACTCCACTAGCAATCTTGAATATTTTATCCATCAAATCAACATTAATTCTAATGACATTATCAGATGTGTGCATTAGAATAGAATAGAATAGAATGTCTTTATTGTCATTATACAATTGTACAACGAAATTATTTGGCTTCACAATTTAAAGTGCACACACATACAAGCATCCACAGCTAAAGACAACAAAGACAATTTAAAAAAAAAAGAAATGAACTCTCATTCGGGTAAGATGGGCAATGTACGGTAGGAGTTATTTACAGGTGGTAGCATAACAGAATATAAATAGATATTGCAGAAATATAAAATAAATATTGCACAGTTTGAAATGTAAAATATTGCAGAAATATAAAAATAAATATATCACAGTATGAAATGTAAAATTATTGCAGAAATATAACATAAGATAAATATTGCACAGTTTGAAATGTAAGATATTGGAGAAATATAAAGTAAGATAAATATTGCACAGTATGAAATGTAAGATATTGCAGAAATATAAAGATAAATATTGCACAGTGTGAAATGTAAGATATTGCAGAAATATAAAGATAAATATTGCACAGTGTGAAATGTAAGATATTGCAGAAATATAAAGATAAATATTGCACAGTGTGAAATGTAAGATATTGCAGAAATATAAAGATAAATATTGCACAGTATGAAATGTAAGATATTGCAGAAATATAAAGTAAGATAAATATTGCACAGTATGAAATGTAAGATACTGCAGAAATATAAAGATAAATATTGCACAGTGTGAAATGTAAGATATTGCAGAAATATAAAGATAAATATTGCACAGTATGAAATGTAAGATATTGCAGAAATATAAAGATAAATATTGCACAGTGTGAAATGTAAGATATTGCAGAAATATAAAGTAAGATAAATATTGCACAGTATGAAATGTAAGATATTGCAGAAATATAAAGTAAGATAAATATTGCACAGTATGAAATGTAAGATATTGCAGAAATATAAAGTAAGATAAATATTGCACAGTATGAAATGTAAGATATTGCAGAAATATAAAATAAATATTGCACAGAGTTAGTTGTTTGCAGCTGCACCTATAACCAGCATCGCCACACAAAATAATGTGACAACTTATTTCATGTTAAAGAAGTGTGTAATTAAAGAGCTTACATTTGCAAATTCATCATTTTTTATTGTATTTAAAAACAAGTATCTGGATGTAACATTTGAAGTTCAGCGTTACAATAAAATATGCCATCACATTTAGATAAAACTAGAAATGGTCATTACAGTCCATTAGGATTATTTCTAGGGGGTCACACGCCTGCACCTTACCCACAGCTACGCACATGTAAAGCACGTTTTAAAACAAAAACAAGACGTCTGATAGCTAGCCAAAGTAGCTAGCAAAACATAGTTGAACTGACAGAATGGGCTAGCTAACTTTTAGCCGAATGACAATGACATCTTACCTGTCGAATTGTCGCAGGAAAGCAGTATTTCTCACCTTACAGGTCAATTTTTGTTTCTTAAAAGTATGCGTTATGTTGAAAAGTCGAATAAATTAAACGCTATTCTGCTGTAAAAAAAAAACAAGTGTTTGTCAGCGGGCTGCTGGGGGCGTCACATGCCTTGTAACTATGCAACGTCATTTCCTGGCAACGGTTGTTATGTAGTAGAGCCCCGAAGTCTTTAGCGTTAAGTGAAAAGTACTATTAAATATAAAAGTATATACAATATATATATATATAAGTATATAAATATAAAAGTATTTTACTGTTTGTAAACAGTCGGAATGAATATACAAACGGCTTTTTATTATTCTGACTTCCGTATGAAAAAATAAACTCACTTAAAACACAAATACCTTAAAATAAAATAAACATATTGACAATATTTAATCAAGGCATAGCTTTGCACTCACCCACTAAAGAAATCCAGTAGGAAGCTTGAGAAACTAGAGCGGACCTTGAATTAGAATTATTTTAATATTAGAAAAAAAAAGATTTAAAAGGTGAAAAAATAACTTTCAAACATGTAAAGATTGTAGCCCAAATCAAAAGGAACTAATGAATGTTATGATTCAAATATTAATTGTTTTTGATTATATTACACAATAGATATTCTCAAGTAGGGGAGTCTAGATCAGTTTTGAACTTCTGCATCAATTGTGAAGACATTTTTAATATACTGTAGTTTAAACCTTTATTAGGCTTCTCAGCAGTGAGGCAGCGCTATTTAAACTGTGTCAGCATCTGTCTTGAGTTCACAGAGAGGGAAAAACCCCATTACACTTTGGTGATTTGTCTTTATCAGGTAAACGGATGAATAATGCAATCATATAAAACATTGGTAGACGCAGAGACAGTAGGTCATGTTGTCTATCCTTGAGGATATTATTCCAAAGTAAACTGCTCCCCTTAGTGAACACCCTTTAACAAGAAAAGGGATTATCTGACGGCGCGTCCCCTGAAATTTCAATTTGTCACGGGTTTTCTTTTAATAACAATGTCAGACCTACAAGTGACACACACTAATGAAATGCCCATGTCCTCGGGTGAATCCATCGTATAGACCTGTGTCTGGTCACTGTCATAGAATTTACATGCCAATGCAGGATGGGTAGAGATGGGGATTGAATAGGCTTGTTTCTCCTGCATACTTACAATTATCAGCACATGGGTAAGAAATCACGATGACAGACAAGAAGTGTCCTCAAAATTACCGATCGATCTAATCTCTGAAATGTGTAAGACGATTTGAATTAAATGAAGGCTTCTGGTAGGACAAGAGAAGCATCCATCTGACTCTGACAAATTACTCATTATGAAAACTCAATTACAGGGACTGATTGTTTTCTAATAATGGGCTTTGACAGTCTAGATCAGGCTGCATTCAAGAGCAGCTTCTTCCCTTCACAGATAGTTTTGAGTGGGACTAAAGGGCGCCTGGGGCTCCCTTCAAATGGTTCTTGGATTCATCAGTAAATGAGGAATAATGCACTATAATTTCACTGTTATTTATTCAATGTCAAAAACAAAGAGTTCTCAGCATCCATCAGAGTTCAAGGTTGTAAATGATTACTAAACAATAATCATTTCAGGTGTACACAAAAAAATGATTGATCAGTGGAAATGTTTTGTATTTTTGTTTCTTTGTGACAGGGCCAAGGTTTATTGCCATTATTTAGTCTTTAATAAGCAAGGAGATTGTAGGAAGAAAAACTAATATTTGATAATAAAATTGTTTCATACTCAATTACTTTAGCTAAGCAATGAGATAAGTCTGTGTAGTATACTAATTTCACCTTTTTTTTTATTATTAAACAATGGAAATGAAGAAAATGTAGTTCATGTTGTGATTCGTTTCTATGTTCGCTTCATTCTAAAACAAAGACACATCTCTCATTTGACCGAGTAAATATAGAAGATAATGTTTGACCTGACCAAAACAATTATGATTAGTTACAAGAACGTATCGCCATAGAAATGTCTGAGTTCAAATGGTACCCGCAATTCTTCACTTAAATACCAAATGACATCTGTAAGAGCTCAGATGACCTTTGGCCTCTGAGGCAGACACAGATTATAATATGCAGTTTGATCCCAGAAATCTGCTCCTTTCCACCCACACCAGCCCTGAGAAAGACAACAGACAGACACAATTAATGCTGTTCTGTGAATTATACAGAAATACAGCCAGCGTAAATGCTTGTAAGCGTTACCTTATCTGTGATAACCTGTAAGTCCTCTGCTCCGGTGTAATGGGATCTAGGATGAGATATCGGATCTGCCCGGTGGTCTCACTCCATGCCACACCTAGAATAGTGTGAGCTAAAACTCCCCCTCCTGCAAGACACGACAACATAGCACGAAAAAGATGCCTGCCTTTAATATCTGAAAAACATTCACCGTTGCTTATCAAAACAAAATAGTCTAGTTTGCTTTTGTGGGTCATGTAGAGATGTCAATATTAAATCAATGCTATTCCATAACCCCCGAAATCTCCTCACAGTAGATTTTATAGAAGTCATTTTATTTAAGGACCTGTACTAAAGAAGGGAGTAGGAGTACTGTAGTTCAGAAATCCAGCTCACCAATCATGATGGGAGTCCCTTCAGTGAGGAAGTGGTTCGCCAGTTCTCTTCCTTTAGAGCCCAAATCAGAACCTTGACTAAAGAGGACACAATTCATCACAAGATATATCAACATATTCACTCAAAGTGCACTTCATGCACATGTAACCACACTACACACCTCACAAACATGATCTTTGAAGTGACCCCAAGCAGCTGGTTCAGAACAACCTGAACCTCGATGGATCCGATCCACTGACGTGATCCAACAAAGGACGCCTGTTTGTCTCCAACATCCAACAAAGCCTGGAAAGGAAAAGCCCCCATTAAACACAACTCTTTGGAAAGTTTCTATTGGAGTTTTGTGAGTGTGTGATGTTTGAGGGACCACTGCGGCACCTGTTGGATCTCCCTGTGAGTGGGCACAGGCCCCTCTGCGTAGCCCTGCTGCTTAAACCAGGAGCAGATGGTCTGCAGGGAGCGATAAGCACAGCCCCAGCCGTTGTCATCCATGTGGTCCTGCATGTAGTGGTGATAGCTGTAGATGCCCTGGACCAAGTACACCTTTTAAAAACACATGAAAGGACATGAAAAAAAGACAGAAGGTTACAGCTCCACGAAGAGAAGGTCTGAATATTGATCTTTAAATAGGACATCGAGTGTGTAAAACTTCATTTAAAGCTCATGTGAGGAGTTTTTGGCTGGTTATGAAAAAGTTGGACAAAGTGATAAAGTTGCATGCTGCAGAAACAGACTATTTTACTTTTTACATTTTTGCACAGCAAAAGATTCTGGATGAGTGATACATTTTACTGTTAGGAGAGAGTAGCGGGAAACTTTTTGTTAAAAAACAACAACTACATACACATGCACAGTAAAAATCAGCAAAAAAAAATAAGAGTTACCCCTTCGTCTACAGGGGGGGTGACAAATTCTACAAGAGTCAAAAAATTCCTCCCAGGAATTTGGAGAGATTAGCCGTACCTTTCCATTGTCCAGGCTGGGATTAGTGAGGGCCAGGTGAGGGTTCCTGAGGTAGCCATCTTTGTAGGGCTCATTGGGAAAGTGGTAGGCATTGGCTCGTCTAAAATAGGGCCAGTCATTTGGGAGCTCAAACTGTTGATGCAATTCCTACTTAAAGAGAGATTTGTGTAAAATATAGTGAAAACATAAATCAGCTACCAAGCAAAGACCGGTGTTATTTATTTCACTCGTGTTACATGTAAGTAAAATAAATTGAATCCACTGACAGGTAGTCTGCAGGGTCAGATGCTCCAAAAGATTCATCTGGATCAAAATGATCTGGATTTGGAAATTCCATCTTTTGCAATAGGATCAATTTAACCCATCAACCTGATTCAGACAGGAGCATTTTGAGATAGCCAAATCCAGATTGTCAGTCCTCTGTCAGGAACTACTTATAACAAGAGTAGGCGACTAATTGTGACACTTTAAGTGATTTGATGTGAAGGGACAGATTATAACAAAATAAAACATTACAAACAACTTTGTTGATTACTTTTAAATGGTCCAACTCATGTGAACTCATATGAATAAATAGTACCTGAAATCACTTTATAAATAAAATGTATCACATTTAAAAACACACAATATTTTAAGATAATGTGAAAAAAACAGACACGAAAACGAAGCATTTGAATGACTAAGACTCCATTAGTTAGGATAAAACATAAAGCTGGACAGTCCCTGGTTCATGTTTTGGATCCTTTTGTCTTAAGACCTCTAAATCATAAGAACACATGCCTTATTTCTTATGAGCAACCCGCTCTAATGACGTGGTCCTGCAGATAGACAGAATCTGACCAGATACCTCTAAACAAGTGTGCACTGGATAAACAGCTGAATGTATCTGTATGCTATTAGAGCATTTAGGATAATGGCAACATAAACACTTTAAAAGAGCACTCTGTAGTTCTTACCTTACGTTCTGTTTCCAGCTGGCTGTCAGCCACTCCTGCTGGGTAAACAACAGTCACCAGTCCTTTTGGCTCTGGAAGCAGGAAGTGCAGCGGCTCAGGTACCAGCAGAGTCGTACCCTTCACGTGCTGCAGCATCACTTTCTCCATCTCACCCAGCTGACGACCCAACGCCTCCATCAGGCGCTCAAAGGCACTGCAACACCACAACAATCAACTGATAAACAATCAATCATTCAGTACACGTGTATGGACGCTGACACGGTGAGGTTTCAGAGCTTGGTTGGTAACATAAAAATCGGATGTTTTTATGGGTAAACATACTCTTTGGTGGTGTCTTTGCTGGAGGTGCGGACGACACAGTCCATGGAAGAGTTGTACACAAGAAGTGGGATTTCTTGGCTGTCCTGCAGAGGACTGGAGCTGAAAGATGGCTTCCTTTTGTTGTCACTTCCATCATTAGGCGAAGATTAATAACACTCTGAATGACAAGTATGAATTCAAATTAAAGACGTGTGCGTAGACACCATTAACATGAATGGAATTTCTTCAAGAGCTGAAATAATTAGTCTATTAAGCAATTAGATAATTAAGAGGCAGCTAATGGGCAAACGTTTTCAGAATCATGTAGTTCCCTATGACATATTTTGTGATATGGAAAATGTGCTAAATGTGTTGTTTGTGGTTTACAGTGACATGTGCTTCTCTGTTAACAAATGAATTATTTTTTGTTCTATTGTTTTTATTCATTAATTCTTCTGTACATGCAGCTCAATTTGTGCAATAAAGCAGGACAACAAAGTGTGTCATATTGTTTCGTATCATATCCTCTTTTTTTAACCAAAAGTGCAAACATTGTCAGTGGTTCAAGATTGTAAATATGAGTATTTGATTTTTATTTTTTCTATTTGTCGATAAAACAAGACACTGTCAATGATGATAAAGTAAACAATCAATGTAGCCCAGCCTCTGTTATCCCTACACTACAGACTACTGATTCTGCGGCAGATACGGAGCAGTTTAAATGTTTAAAGAGTTCTCTGAGTGTACTTAGTATTCCTGTTTCCATGTTTTATTAGTCACAACTTGCAACGATCTTCATGTACAGACAGGTACATACCGCGGTAGAAGTCTTCTTGCTTCTCTTTTTTGCAGATCTCCTGCCAGTGTTCTCGAATTCATCCGTCCTGAAATAAATACAAACTTTGAGTCGAATTCAGATGAACAAAAAAACAACAACAGAAAGGCAGGATACTGATTCTTAATTAGAAAGAAAGTGTTCATTTACTGTATCCACTGTTGTAAATCCTCACACGGTGTGTCTGGAGTTATATCTTGAGGTGTTGCATGAAAACTGCGATTTGGCCAAATAAAAACCGGACTGTCACAGACGGTCAGAACACAGGATTCAGATTTCACCTGAGAGTGAAGCGTCTCAAATGTTCTCGAGATGACTTTGTGCATTTGCAAGGCTGAAACAAGACAGACAGAAAGTATTAGTCTGATACTAACAATATTAGTCTAATACTATCTCCACACTGCTGATACATTCTATCATTCCCATGATGGAAACATGTAACTAGATGTACCATTACTTTATTTATAAACCATAATTTTATACACTAAACACCATTCACAAAACTTGATCAAAAATAAATAAGCAACTTATTTATTTGTAATGCCAAAATACAATTCCACATTCCCAAATGTGAAGATTATTTCACTACATTACATTAATGCATTCTATCAAAACACATTTCGAAGATGTACCCTGTTGACACTTTTTTTTTTCTTTACAATTTCCAGATGTTTTTTTAAACCAAACAATCATCAAATGTATACAAAAATAATCAGCAGATTATTACATGATAATGAAAATGTACATAAACTGCAATCCTAGATAAAACA